CTATCGACGGCCGAAATCGGCCCGGTGTGTCGCGGCCTTGATGCATTGCTTGGACACAAATGTCCTCGTCTAGTTGGCTGGTCATCTGCCATTGCTATTTGATAAATAAGCCGACTGCAAGTTGAATTCATGAAGAAAAGTAGGCAGTAGCCTAAGTAGGTACGTACACACACAATACATAGGCTACATAAATAGCACTACATAGGCTATAGCAGGCATGGGCAAACTAAGGCCCGCGGGCCATATACGGCCCGTTGGGCTTTTTAATCCGGCCCGCCGAATATTGGTACAAAATTGTCCAAATTATAGTAAAGACCGCATTCATTTTGCCTTTTTCCTGCAATACCCGGCATTTCAGTTGATCCCACTAGATGGCGCACTCTAGACACAAATGACCTTTGCTGGAGTCGGCAAGATCTAAGAACCAAATACGTCACGCTTACAGTCCTCTGTTGATGTTGTTGTGAGTGGTGTTGTGGAGAAAATCAGTGACGTAAAACGCCATGTGGGTCATAAGAAGGCACGAGCTATTCGACCAACAACACCATGATGTCGTCGGCTGCTCCCCGTGTTATCATCCTGCCCAGATGCCTGTTCTTCATGTGCCAGGTTTCAACTGAGAGTTAAGGACCCCAGCTTGACTGAAGAAGAGAAACGCAGTGAGTCTGCATCCTACATCCTACACAGGAGACGAGCACGGCAGGTAGATCATGATGCAGAATGTGATACTCCCTAAAGCGCCATAGGTCAGGCATCCTGTTCCAGACAGCTCGACATGCATCTCTCTCTCGTTGTTATTCACCATGGGACAGGAAGTAAGCAAGCAGTGGATCATGTTCACCTGTCCACATGGATGGAGCATGGAAATAGAAAAGGTAGCAATATGACTGCTCCAGCTCTGGACCACTGGTCACGTCAACAGTTGAGTGGTGCTCTTCGCCGCGCTCAGAGGCTGCGATTGTTCAGCGATTCTTCTTTTGGTCAGAACAAAAGTATGAACCTGCTGTCCATGCTGTCTTCCTTTATGAAGGAGGCCTTTCCAAGAGTCAGTGCTGAGTATGTGTTTCCTATAAGGGGGGGGGGGCTTTCTGCCCGTGGGTCGTGTGTTTGGGACGATTGAGCAACAGGTTCCAAAGAAGGATACCATTCTTATGCCAGAGGAATAAGATCAGCTTTTGGGCAGTCATGGAAATGAACACGTCTTTGGGCAAGACTGGGAGGCTTATGATCTCAAGACAGAAACACAGGGGGGGGGGTCTCCTAGGGGCTGTGCTGGTTGTATAGTCTGTGTTGTAGTGTGTGTGTGTGTGTGTGTGTGTGTGTGTGTGTGTGTGTGTGTGTGTGTGTGTGTGTGTGTGTGTGGTCTCCTAGGGGCTGTGCTGGTTGTATAGTCTGTGTTGTTGTGTGTGTGGGGGGGGGTCTCCTTGGGGCTGTGCTGGTTGTATTGTCTGTGTTGTTGTGTGTGTGGGGGGGGTCTCCTTGGGGCTGTGCTGGTTGTATAGTCTGTGTTGTTGTGTGTGTGGGGGGGGTCTCCTAGGGGCTGTGCTGGTTGTATTGTCTGTGTTGCAGTGTGTGTGCGGGGGGGTCTCCTAGGGGCTGTGCTGGTTGTATTGTCTGTGTTGTAGTGTGTGTGTGGGGGGGGGTCTCCTAGGGGCTGTGCTGGTTGTATAGTCTGTGTTGTTGTGTGTGTGGGGGGGGGTCTCCTTGGGGCTGTGCTGGTTGTATTGTCTGTGTTGTAGTGTGTGTGTGGGGGGGGGTCTCCTAGGGGCTGTGCTGGTTGTATAGTCTGTGTTGTAGTGTCTGTGGGGGGGGGGTCTCCTAGGGGCTGTGCTGGTTGTATAGTCTGTGTTGTTGTGTGTGTGTGGGGGGGGGGTCTCCTAGGGGCTGTGCTGGTTGTATAGTCTGTGTTGTAGTGTCTGTGGGGGGGGGGGGTCTCCTAGGGGCTGTGCTGGTTGTATAGTCTGTGTTGTAGTGTGTCTGTGGGGGGGGTCTCCTAGGGGCTGTGCTGGTTGTATAGTCTGTGTTGTAGTGTGTCTGTGGGGGGGGGGTCTCCTAGGGGCTGTGCTGGTTGTATAGTCTGTGTTGTAGTGTCTGTGGGGAGGGTCTCCTAGGGGCTGTGCTGGTTGTATAGTCTGTGTTGTAGTGTCTGTGTGGGGGGGGTCTCCTAGGGGCTGTGCTGGTTGTATAGTCTGTGTTGTAGTGTGTCTGTGGGGGGGGTCTCCTAGGGGCTGTGCTGGTTGTATAGTCTGTGTTGTAGTGTCTGTGTGGGGGGGGTCTCCTAGGGGCTGTGCTGGTTGTATAGTCTGTGTTGTAGTGTCTGTGGGGGGGGGGGTCTCCTAGGGACTGTGCTGGTTGTATAGTCTGTGTTGTAGTGTGTCTGTGGGGGGGGTCTCCTAGGGGCTGTGCTGGTTGTATAGTCTGTGTTGTAGTGTCTGTGTGGGGGGGGTCTCCTAGGGGCTGTGCTGGTTGTATAGTCTGTGTTGTAGTGTGTCTGTGGGGGGGGGTCTTCTAGGGGCTGTGCTGGTTGTATAGTCTGTGTTGTAGTGTCTGTGGGGAGGGTCTCCTAGGGGCTGTGCTGGTTGTATAGTCTGTGTTGTAGTGTCTGTGTGGGGGGGGTCTCCTAGGGGCTGTGCTGGTTGTATAGTCTGTGTTGTAGTGTCTGTGGGGAGGGTCTCCTTGGGGCTGTGCTGGTTATATAGTCTGTGTTGTAGTGTGTATGGGGGGGGGTCTCCTTGGGGCTGTGCTGGTTGTATAGTCTGTGTTGTAGTGTCTGTGGGGAGGGTCTCCTAGGGGCTGTGCTGGTTGTATAGTCTGTGTTGTAGTGTCTGTGTGGGGGGGGTCTCCTAGGGGCTGTGCTGGTTGTATAGTCTGTGTTGTAGTGTCTGTGTGGGGGGGGGTCTCCTAGGGGCTGTGCTGGTTGTATAGTCTGTGTTGTAGTGTCTGTGGGGAGGGGTCTCCTAGGGGCTGTGCTGGTTGTATAGTCTGTGTTGTAGTGTCTGTGGGGGGGGGTCTCCTAGGGGCTGTGCTGGTTGTATAGTCTGTGTTGTAGTGTCTGTGGGGGGGGTCTCCTAGGGGCTGTGCTGGTTGTATAGTCTGTGTTGTAGTGTCTGTGGGGGGGGTCTCCTAGGGGCTGTGCTGGTTGTATAGTCTGTGTTGTAGTGTCTGTGGGGGGGGGTCTCCTAGGGGCTGTGCTGGTTGTATAGTCTGTGTTGTAGTGTCTGTGGGGGGGGTCTCCTAGGGACTGTGCTGGTTGTATAGTCTGTGTGTTGTGTGTGTGGGGGGGGGGGTCTCCTAGGGGCTGTGCTGGTTGTATAGTCTGTGTTGTAGTGTGTCTGTGGGGGGGGTCTCCTAGGGGCTGTGCTGGTTGTATAGTCTGTGTTGTAGTGTGTCTGTGGGGGGGGTCTCCTAGGGGCTGTGCTGGTTGTATAGTCTGTGTTGTAGTGTCTGTGTGGGGGAGGGTCTCCTAGGGGCTGTGCTGGTTGTATAGTCTGTGTTGTAGTGTCTGTGGGGGGGGTCTCCTAGGGGCTGTGCTGGTTGTATAGTCTGTGTTGTAGTGTCTGTGGGGGGGGTCTCCTAGGGGCTGTGCTGGTTGTATAGTCTGTGTTGTAGTGTCTGTGGGGGGGGGTCTCCTAGGGGCTGTGCTGGTTGTATAGTCTGTGTTGTAGTGTCTGTGGGGGGGGGGGGTCTCCTAGGGGCTGTGCTGGTTGTATAGTCTGTGTTGTAGTGTGTCTGTGGGGGGGTCTCCCTAGGGGCTGTGCTGGTTGTATAGTCTGTGTTGTAGTGTCTGTGGGGAGGGTCTCCTAGGGGCTGTGCTGGTTGTATAGTCTGTGTTGTAGTGTGTCTGTGGGGGGGGTCTCCTAGGGGCTGTGCTGGTTGTATAGTCTGTGTTGTAGTGTCTGTGGGGGGGGGGGTTCTCCTAGGGGCTGTGCTGGTTGTATAGTCTGTGTTGTAGTGTCTGTGTGGGGGGGGTTCTCCTAGGGGCTGTGCTGGTTGTATAGTCTGTGTTGTAGTGTCTGTGGGGGGGGGGGTCTCTCTAGGGGCTGTGCTGGTTGTATAGTCTGTGTTGTAGTGTGTCTGTGGGGGGGGTCTCCTAGGGGCTGTGCTGGTTGTATAGTCTGTGTTGTAGTGTCTGTGGGGAGGGTCTCCTAGGGGCTGTGCTGGTTGTATAGTCTGTGTTTGTAGTGTCTGTGTGGGGGGGGTCTCCTAGGGGCTGTGCTGGTTGTATAGTCTGTGTTGTAGTGTCTGTGTGGGGGGGGTCTCCTAGGGGCTGTGCTGGTTGTATAGTCTGTGTTGTAGTGTCTGTGGGGGGGGGGGTCTCCTAGGGGCTGTGCTGGTTGTATAGTCTGTGTTGTAGTGTGTCTGTGGGGGGGGGTCTCCTAGGGGCTGTGCTGGTTGTATAGTCTGTGTTGTAGTGTCTGTGGGGAGGGTCTCCTAGGGGCTGTGCTGGTTGTATAGTCTGTGTTGTAGTGTCTGTGGGGGGGGGGGTCTCCTAGGGACTGTGCTGGTTGTATAGTCTGTGTTGTTGTGTGTGTGGGGGGGGTCTCCTAGGGGCTGTGCTGGTTGTATAGTCTGTGTTGTAGTGTGTCTGTGGGGGGGGTCTCCTAGGGCTGTGCTGGTTGTATAGTCTGTGTTGTAGTGTGTCTGTGGGGGGGGTCTCCTAGGGGCTGTGCTGGTTGTATAGTCTGTGTTGTAGTGTGTCTGTGGGGGGGGTCTCCTAGGGGCTGTGCTGGTTGTATAGTCTGTGTTGTAGTGTGTCTGTGGGGGGGGTCTCCTAGGGGCTGTGCTGGTTGTATAGTCTGTGTTGTAGTGTGTCTGTGGGGGGGGTCTCCTAGGGGCTGTGCTGGTTGTATAGTCTAACCGCTGCAGGAAGGAAGGACCTCTCCGTGAGACAGAAATCAGATAGACTTTAAAAGGCGTTTGCTAGCGAGGAAATGGGGCTGGGGGTTTCTGTGTCACAGAGACCTATAAGAAGAGCAGCAGCAGAGAGAGAGGGGACAGACCTGCTCTGTGGACCTGGAGCTGAGGCTGGAGCACCGCGGACAGCAGGGGGCGCTCCTGTGACACAGAGAGAGAGAGAGGTCTTTGAATATAGGCTTACTGTAGAATAGCAGGGCCGGTCGAGCACAGGCGTTATAGAGGCGCTGCGCTGGCAGCTCGGGGAGGGGAACACATTGTTTTTGACCGTTGGCGCTCATCCTGATTTTCAGCCTTGATGTAACAACATTCATAATTAAGTAAATGTAACACCCTTTTTCCCCCCGGTTACACTTTGCATTTGCCCTGTACGATGGGCGCTGGAAGTGATGAAAGTGGGGATGTTGGCTTATCAGGCGCCCGCAGCTCACAGCCAAAGGGCGAGTGAGCGAGAGAGAGAGAGAGAGAGAGAGAGAGAGAGAGCGAGAGAGAGAGAGAGAGAGAGAGAGAGAGAGAGAGAGAGAGAGAGAGAGAGAGAGAGAGAGAGAGGAGAGAGAGAGAGAGAGAGAGAGAGAGAGAGAGAGAGAGAACGAGAACCGGTACCGGCGCTGTTGTTATTAGCACCTGGTGCTAGCTGCGCTAACGGATATAAGAAGAAGATGTTTCTACAATAATGTGGAGGGAGAGTTCTCTGCAGTCAGAGTGAGAGGCTGATAACTACAGCTCAGTGAGGTGAAGGACTCTCTGAGGGTTCAGATAGTTCACTTTAGTCTCAGTTATCTCAGTGAGGTGAAGGACTCTCTGAGGGTTCAGATAGTTCACTTTAGTCTCAGTTATCTCAGTGAGGTAAAGGACTCTCTGAGGGTTCAGATAGTTCACTTTAGTCTCAGTTATCTCAGTGAGGTAAAGGACTCTCTGAGGGTTCAGATAGTTCACTTTAGTCTCAGTTATCTCAGTGAGGTAAAGGACTCCCTGAGGGTTCAGATAGTTCACTTTAGTCTCAGTTATCTCAGTGAGGTAAAGGACTCTCTGAGGGTTCAGATAGTTCACTTTAGTCTCAGTTATCTCAGTGAGGTAAAGGACTCTCTGAGGGTTCAGATAGTTCACTTTAGTCTCAGTTATCTCAGTGAGGTAAAGGACTCTCTGAGGGTTTCAGATAGTTCACTTTAGTCTCAGTTATCTCAGTGAGGTAAAGGACTCTCTGATGGTTCAGATAGTTCACTTTAGTCTCAGTTATCTCAGTGAGGTAAAGGACTCTCTGAGGGTTCAGATAGTTCACTTTAGTCTCAGTTATCTCAGTGAGGTGAAGGACTCTCTGAGGGTTCAGATAGTTCACTTTAGTCTCAGTATCTCAGTGAGGTAAAGGACTCTCTGAGGGTTCAGATAGTTCACTTTAGTCTCAGTTATCTCAGTGAGGTAAAGGACTCTCTGAGGGTTCAGATAGTTCACTTTAGTCTCAGTTATCTCAGTGAGGTAAAGGACTCTCTGAGGGTTCAGATAGTTCACTTTAGTCTCAGTTATCTCAGTGAGGTAAAGGACTCTCTGAGGGTTCAGATAGTTCACTTTAGTCTCAGTTATCTCAGTGAGGTAAAGGACTCTGAGGGTTCAGATAGTTCACTTTAGTCTCAGTTATCTCAGTGAGGTAAAGGACTCTCTGAGGGTTCAGATAGTTCACTTTAGTCTCAGTTATCTCAGTGAGGTAAAGGACTCTCTGAGGGTTCAGATAGTTCACTTTAGTCTCAGTTATCTCAGTGAGGTAAAGGACTCTCTGAGGGTTCAGATAGTTCACTTTAGTCTCAGTTATCTCAGTGAGGTAAAGGACTCTCTGAGGGTTCAGATAGTTCACTTTAGTCTCAGTTATCTCAGTGAGGTGAAGGACTCTCTGAGGGTTCAGATAGTTCACTTTAGTCTCAGTTATCTCAGTGAGGTAAAGGACTCTGAGGGTTCAGATAGTTCACTTTAGTCTCAGTTATCTCAGTGAGGTAAAGGACTCTCTGAGGGTTTAGATAGTTCACTTTAGTCTCAGTTATCTCAGTGAGGTAAAGGACTCTCTGAGGGTTCAGATAGTTCACTTTAGTCTCAGTTATCTCAGTGAGGTAAAGGACTCTCTGAGGGTTTAGATAGTTCACTTTAGTCTCAGTTATCTCAGTGAGGTAAAGGACTCTCTGAGGGTTCAGATAGTTCACTTTAGTCTCAGTTATCTCAGTGAGGTAAAGGACTCTCTGAGGGTTCAGATAGTTCACTTTAGTCTCAGTTATCTCAGTGAGGGTAAAGGACTCTCTGAGGGTTTAGATAGTTCACTTTAGTCTCAGTTATCTCAGTGAGGTAAAGGACTCTCTGAGGGTTCAGATAGTTCACTTTAGTCTCAGTTATCTCAGTGAGGTAAAGGACTCTCTGAGGGTTCAGATAGTTCACTTTAGTCTCAGTTATCTCAGTGAGGTAAGGACTCTGAGGGTTCAGATAGTTCACTTTAGTCTCAGTTATCTCAGTGAGGTAAAGGACTCTCTGAGGGTTTAGATAGTTCACTTTAGTCTCAGTTATCTCAGTGAGGTAAAGGACTCTCTGAGGGTTCAGATAGTTCACTTTAGTCTCAGTTATCTCAGTGAGGTAAAGGACTCTCTGAGGGTTCAGATAGTTCACTTTAGTCTCAGTTATCTCAGTGAGGTAAAGGACTCTCTGAGGGTTCAGATAGTTCACTTTAGTCTCAGTTATCTCAGTAAGGTAAAGGACTCTCTGAGGGTTTAGATAGTTCACGTTAGTCTCAGTTATCTCAGTGAGGTAAAGGACTCTCTGAGGGTTCAGATAGTTCACTTTAGTCTCAGTTATCTCAGTGAGGTAAAGGACTCTCTGAGGGTTCAGATAGTTCACTTTAGTCTCAGTTATCTCAGTGAGGTAAAGGACTCTCTGAGGGTTCAGATAGTTCACTTTAGTCTCAGTTATCTCAGTGAGGTAAAGGACTCTCTGAGGGTTCAGATAGTTCACTTTAGTCTCAGTTATCTCAGTGAGGTAAAGGACTCTCTGAGGGTTCAGATAGTTCACTTTAGTCTCAGTTATCTCAGTGAGGTAAAGGACTCTCTGAGGGTTCAGATAGTTCACTTTAGTCTCAGTTATCTCAGTGAGGTAAAGGACTCTCTGAGGGTTCAGATAGTTCACTTTAGTCTCAGTTATCTCAGTGAGGTGAAGGACTCTCTGAGGGTTTAGATAGTTCACTTTAGTCTCAGTTATCTCAGTGAGGTAAAGGACTCTGAGGGTTCAGATAGTTCACTTTAGTCTCAGTTATCTCAGTGAGGTAAAGGACTCTCTGAGGGTTTAGATAGTTCACTTAGTCTCAGTTATCTCAGTGAGGTAAAGGACTCTCTGAGGGTTCAGATAGTTCACTTAGTCTCAGTTATCTCAGTGAGGTAAAGGACTCTCTGAGGGTTCAGATAGTTCACTTAGTCTCAGTTATCTCAGTGAGGTAAAGGACTCTCTGAGGGTTCAGATAGTTCACTTTAGTCTCAGTTATCTCAGTGAGGTAAAGGACTCTGAGGGTTCAGATAGTTCACTTTAGTCTCAGTTATCTCAGTGAGGTTAAAGGACTCTCTGAGGGTTTAGATAGTTCACTTTAGTCTCAGTTATCTCAGTGAGGTAAAGGACTCTCTGAGGGTTCAGATAGTTCACTTTAGTCTCAGTTATCTCAGTGAGGTAAAGGACTCTCTGAGGGTTCAGATAGTTCACTTTAGTCTCAGTTATCTCAGTGAGGTAAAGGACTCTCTGAGGGTTCAGATAGTTCACTTTAGTCTCAGTTATCTCAGTGAGGTAAAGGACTCTCTGAGGGTTCAGATAGTTCACTTTAGTCTCAGTTATCTCAGTGGCTCTCAAACGGTTTGGTCACAATTGATGTAAACACATATTTCCAAGGCACTCCTTTATAATTATTGGGATAAACAGGTTTGAAATCATTCCATATACTACAGGACAGAAAACCAGAGATATCCTTTAAAACTGGAGAGATTAAAAAATATGCATAAATAAATAAATGTTATAGGTAAAATAAGATATGATGAACAACACAAATAACATAAGTTACATGTATTGGCTATTGGTTATGTTCACAAACTTATTTGGTTATTAAAATGTAAACCGATCTTTTTCATATGGGGGTTTCAGGGTTGTAGATCTAGATCTAGATCTAGATCTAGTAGTGATTCTGCTCAAAGTGCTCCAGATTGAAGCATTTTACTTTATTGTGTATTCCTTGGATACTCTATTGAGGGGGGGGGCAGCTCAAATCTCGCATAGGGCTGCAAATGGTCTAGAGCCGGCCCTGACTGTATATACACAGGAGAGTAAGAACGAGACAGCTCACTCTTGTTTACTAAATCACCACTTCCGGTGTCTCTCACTCTAACGTGTTACCAGCTAGCATGCTAAGCTAGCTTCTACAGTCCGAGGTAAACAGAAGAAAAAGAGACACACACACACAGAGAGACACACACACACGATGATCAGAGCTCACACACACCATGGATCAGCTGGAGCTCACACGCTTTCTCAGGAACACGAGACGACGAGACGCAAAATGGTTCCGAGAGGGGACCACTTCCGGTTTTCGGACTTCAAAACAAAAGCACGAAGCATTTCCTAAGGCAGGCCTTTGACCGGCCCGCAGCTTCGTTCTTATAATGTTTTATTGATGGCCCTGTAGCACAAAGAGAAAGCATATTGAACATGTCTTGGTGGCAGCACTCGATCTGAGGGCTCGTTCTGCCGCAGTTTGCCTTTTCTGTGAAAGAGCTGTATTTTGGGTTCGGGAGGATCCGTGGGAAAACCCGGAGCGGAGTCTTTGTTCGTGAACTGGACTGAACTCATGTTGGGGTTGCTACCAGCTGGACTCTTTGCTAAAGCGGATTGAACTGTATATGTTGACTGTTTTCACCACACACTGCACACACACTGATCTTATATGCCTGTTTTCCCCCATGAAATATGCATCACACGAAAAAGGAAATGTATGAGTGATCTAATTTGTATTGCATTTCGGTGATGGGGGAGATATTTCCCACGTTATGTAATGTGTTTGGTTTGACTGAACCATTTATGTTGAATATGTAAGATGATTATTTGTCCTGATTCAGACTGGCACCCCACTTTATTAAAAATAGCTGCATCCATGCTTTTGGGTCCACACTTTGTACGTCCGGGACATACGTAGGTGTAAAATGAACCAAAGTCATGTCTCTGTACTCTGATAACTATGAACATTCACAGAGAAAAGGCCATCTACATCGATGGGCCTCTTTGCCCCTGGATCTTGGAAACAGAATTACGACAATAAAAACAAATATTTGACCTTCTTTACTTGTTTATGTCATTACCAATTCATAGGAGATACAAAACTCCACAGCTGCCAAAGCAAAGCGGAGGGATGGGCTTTCCCAACCTGAAAGATGATTGTCTCGCGGCACAGATAAGGCCGCTGATGCTCTGGTGTCATAATGAATGTTTTTCTAAATGGAAACTCATGGAGCGCTCGATACTAGACAGACCCTTACAGAGTTTGTTAGGATCAGAATCAGGTTTATCACCAGGAAGGTTCACGTACGAGGAATTTGATTTGGTGTCGTGGTGCATACTTAAGCAATAGCTCACGACAGGCCGTGGTATATGGTCATTATCTCACAGCTAAGGGGCGTGGTTCAGCCCCTCAGATGTGAGATAATGACCATATCTCACAGCTAAGGGGCGTGGTTCAGCCCCTCAGCTGTGAGATAATGACCATATCTCACAGCTAAGGGGCGTGGTTCAGCCCCTCAGATGTGAGATAATGACCATATCTCACGGCCTGTCATGGTATATGGTCATTATCTCACATCAAGGTCGAAGTTAACCTTACATGTTTCTTCTCAAGCTTTGTTCGTTAGTGAGTTTCGTAACGGACGTAATGTAACAGCTGTAACGGTTGTAGCTGTTTCTCAGATGCGGAGGGATACTCAAGGTTCAAGGTTCAAGGTTCTTTATTGTCAATCTGACATAGCTACAGAGTAATTATGCAGTTGAAAATCTTATGTCACAGGCTTCTCCAACAATGCAACATAATAACATAACATAATAACAATAAGAGCATGAGCAATACAAAAATAATAATAGTTATAAAAATGAAATAAAGTTATGATGTGGAATAGTGCAGTATGAGTCTATATACAAGTTATTGGAATGATATATATATATTAGGTATTAGATACATACTACTGAGTAGCAGTTGAATGTTTGAAGTTGTTTCAACAGTTCAATTTTTTTAACAGTCTCACTGCCCCGCGGGAAGAAACTGTCTCCGAAATCTTCTTGTCCTTGCCAGGATGCTGCGGTAACGTCTGCCAGACGGCAACAGAAAAGAACAGTTTTGTGGCTGGGGTGATGGGGGGTCTTTGATAATCCGTAGTGATTTCTTCCTGAGCCGCTGGGAGTAAAGGTCCTCCATGGATGGCAGCTCCGTCCTGGTGATGTGCTGTGCAGTTTTCACCACCCTCTGTAAAGCCTTACGATCGAGGTCGGTTGCAGCTGCCGTACCAGGCCGTCATGCTGCCAGTGAGGATACTCTCTATCGTGCACCTGTAGAAGTTGCAGAGTATCCTGGAATCCATTTTGAACCTCCTCAGCCTGCGGAGGAAGAAGAGCCGCTGTCGAGCTTTCTTGGTGATGTGGTGGTGGTGTGAAGAGACCATGTCAGGTCCTCAGTGATGTGGACCCCAAGGAACCTGAAGCTTTTGACTCTCTCCACCGTAGTCCCATTGATGGCGATGGGGGCGTTGTCCCTCTCCCTGCTGCTTCCTGTAGTCCACAATCAGCTCCTTTGTTTTGCTGATGTTGAGATGGAGGTTGTTCTCCTGGCACCAACATGTCAGGTTTTCGACCTCCTCTCTGTACGCCGTCTCGTCATCGTCTGTGATCTGGCCGATGACGGTCGTGTCATCAGCAAACTTCACGATGGTGTTGGAGCTGTGTGTGGCCACGCAGTCGTGGGTGAACAGGGAGTAGAGGAGAGGGCTGAGCACGCAGCCTTGAGGGGCACCGGTGTTGAGAATCAGGGTGGAGGATGTGATGTTTCCCACCCGCACTGCCTGGGGTCTGCCCGTCAGGAAGTTCAGGATCCAGTCACAGAGGGCGCTGTTGAGCCCGAGGTCTCTGAGCTTGATGGCCAGCTTGGAGGGCACAATGGTGTTGAATGCTGAACTGTAGTCAATGAAACAGCATTCTCACATATGTGTTCCTGTTCTTCGGGTCCAGGTGTGAGAGGGCAGTGTGGAGGGTGAGGGCTATGGCGTCGTCTGTGGACCTGTTTGCTCTGTAGGCAAAACTGCAGGGGGTCCAGAGATTCAGGGAGGGAGGAGGTGATGAATAATTTGACTAACCGCTCAAAGCACTTCATTATGATGGAGGTGAGTGCTACTGGGCGGTAGTCGTTGGGGCAGGTGATGATTGTCTTTTTGGGGACAGGAATGATGGTGGAGTGTTTAAGACATGTGGGGACTACAGACTGCAGCAGGGACCTGTTGAAGATGTCTGTACTGTACTGACTTGTTGTGAAAAGTAACTACAATTCTACCCGTGATATATACGCTCATTATATCACGGGTAAGAACCAATCAGATTGCTAGATTTGACAGATCCGTTTTATAAATAAAAATAACACAGATAGTGAACTATATAAGTACACTGTAATAAAATATAGTAAGATAGCAATAAAATAAAGCAGTAATTTACATTGAAATAGAATGCAATAAAATATAGAATATAAAATATGTGCAGTAAGCAATATTTAAACTTTGTGGTAGGTTTCTGGTCCTGATGGAGAGAGGTTCTGGTCCTGATGGAGAGACGTTCTGGTCCTGATGGAGAGAGGTTCTGGTCCTGATGGAGAGAGGTTCTGATGGAGAGAGGTTCTGGTCCTGATGGAGAGAGGTTCTGGTCCTGATGGAGAGATGTTCTGATGGAGAGAGGTTCTGGTCCTGATGGAGAGATGTTCTGATGGAGAGAGGTTCTGGTCCTGATGGAGAGATGTTCTGATGGAGAGAGGTTCTGGTCCTGATGGAGAGAGGTTCTGATGGAGCGAGGTTCTGGTCCTGATGGAGAGATGTTCTGGTGAGATGTTCTGTTCCTGATGGAGAGATGTTCTGATGGAAGAGAGGTTCTGGTCACTGATGGAGAGAGGTTCTGGTCCTGATGGAGAGAGGTTCTGGTCCTGATGGAGAGAGGTTTCTGGTTCTGATGGAGAGAGGTCCTGATGGAGAGAGGTTCTGGTCCTGATGGAGAGAAGGTTCTGGTTCTGATGGAGAGAGGTTCTGCTCCTGATGGAGAGAGGTTCTGGTCCTGATGGAGAGAGGTTCTGCTCCTGATGGAGAGAGGTTTCTGGTTCTGATGGAGAGAGGTTCTGGTCCTGATGAAGAGAGGTTCTGGTTCTGATGGAGAGGTTCTGCTCCTGATGGAGAGAGGTTCTGACTCCTGATGGAGAGGTTCTGGTCCTGATGGAGAGAGTTCTGGTTCTGATGGAGAGAGGTTCTGCTCCTGATGGAGAGGTTCTGGTCCTGATGGAGAGAGGTTCTGGTCCTGATGGAAAGAGGTTCTGGTCCTGATGGAGCGGGGTTCTGCTCCTGATGGAGAGGTTCTGGTCCTGATGGAGAGAGTGTTCTGGTTCCTGATGGAGAGAGGGTTCTGGTTCTGATGGAGAGAGGTTCTGCTCCTGATGGAGAGAGGTTCTGCTTCCTGATGGAGAGGTTCTGGTCCTGATGGAGAGAGGTTCTGTCTCCTGATGGAGAGGTTCTGGTCCCTGATGGAGAGAGGTTCTGCTCCTGATGGAGAGGTTCTGGTCCTGATGGAGAGAGGTTCTGCTCCTGATGGAGAGAGGTCCTGATGGAGAGAGGTCCTGATGGAGAGAGGTCCCGATGGAGAGGTTCTGGTCCTGATGGAGAGAGGTTCTGGTCCTGATGGAGAGAGGTTCTGGTCCTGATGTAGAGGTTCTGATGGAGAGAGGTTCTGGTCCTGATGGAGAGAGGTTCTGGTCCTGATGTAGAGGTTCTAATGGAGAGAGGTTCTGGTCTGATGGAGAGAGGTTCTGGTCCTGATGTAGAGGTTCTAATGGAGAGAGGTTCTGGTCCTGATGGAGAGAGGTTCTGGTCCTGATGTAGAGGTTCTAATGGAGAGAGGTTCTGGTCCTGATGTAGAGGTTCTAATGGAGAGAGGTTCTGGTCCTGATGGAGAGAGGTTCTGGTCCTGATGTAGAGGTTCTAATGGAGAGAGGTTCTGGTCCTGATGGAGAGAGGTTCTGGTCCTGATGTAGAGGTTCTAATGGAGAGAGGTTCTGGTCCTGATGGAGAGAGGTTCTGGTCCTGATGGAGAGAGGTTCTGGTCCTGATGAAGAGAGGTTCTGGTCCTGATGGAGAGAGGTTCTGGTCCTGATGTAGAGGTTCTAATGGAGAGAGGTTCTGGTCCTGATGGAGAGAGGTTCTGGTCCTGATGAAGAGAGGTTCTGGTCCTGATGGAGAGAGGTTCTGGTCCTGATGTAGAGGTTCTAATGGAGAGAGGTTCTGGTCCTGATGGAGAGAGGTTCTGGTCCTGATGGAGAGAGGTTCTGGTCC